TGTCTAGTTGCACTAAGAAAGAAGTTAAGGGGAGTAGGCAGTCAAAATACAGAACTTGAAGAGAAAAATCCCTGCAGAAAAGTTTCGATTCCATAAGAATTCTTATGTAAGAGACAGAAATTGCAAAGCATTTAACCTTTGGGGCTTTCTGTTTCTTCACCTGCAAAATGAGCCCTAGAAATGGATCTCTAAAGTCTTTGAAAACTGTAAATACATTCATTGAAACATTTATTATGTACTTATTATGTGCCAAGCACTGTGGTATATAACTAAAACAATTCTGGCCCTAAATGAGCTTACTCTAAAATACAAAATATATTTCCTAGTAGAAATCACTAACAACTGGAGGGATCAGAATGGGCTTCTTTGAGTGGAACTTTGAAATGAGCTAAGAATTCTACATGTCTGTTAAGAGGAAGAAAGTGTGTTTTTATCCTCTCTTCTTTATAATCAAAATTGATCATTGCAATTATCTCATTACAGTTGTCTTTCAGTATTTTTTAGTTCACATTATTATAGTAATATCTATTTTCCCTTCTGGTTCCACATAATATTTGTAAAGCATTTAGCACAGTGCCTGGCACACAGTAAGTGCTTTATTAATTCACACAAGTCTCCCCATTTTTCTCTGAATTCCTCACATTTTATATTTCATACAGTGCAGTTGTATTCCCTTGCATTAGAAACCACAATTGGTTCATCCCCTTTCCAAATTATGGAAACTCACTGTTTGTAGTTTTTTGACTTCCCCCTCAAATGCTATTATGAATATTTAACTGCATGGAGTTTTTTTTAAACTTAGGGCATATGTGTATATATGTATGCATGTACACATTTATATGTAATCTTCATATATGTGTGTATCTACATATACACACATATATAATCTGTACCTATACATATACATGTAGTAATGGGATGAGTGGGTTAAAGGGTCTGAGCAGTTTAGTTACTTTTCTTGAATAATCCAAGAATCACTTGAATATGTTTCCATTAACATAACATTTCACTAACATTTTTTTTGTGGCTAGTTACATCTTCATTTTTTTTAATGAGAATAATAATGTTATAGTCAGCATGATCTAGTGGATTGAGATTAAAAGGCCTTCATCATAGGATTTTAGGTTAGAACTGGATTAGATCATTAGAGTTCATCTAGTCCAGGTACCTCATTTTCACATGAGAAAACTGAGACCCACAGAGGTTAAGTGAATTACCTAACCTCACTGAGTTTGAATACTGTTTCTGTTGTAAGCTATATTTGGAGTCTAGGAGAACTAGACTCAAGGGCTACCTCTGATATAGTAGCTGTTTGATTTTGGGCAAGTTACTCTCATTGCTTCTAGTAAGTTTCTAAAATTGCAGTCTACAGATGTGTTGTACATTGTGAGATGAGTTTCTCTGCCATAAACCCTAACGAAATCACAGATGTGAAGCAAAAATAAATAAATAAATAAATGATCCGTCCATTTCCAAGACAGAAAATAAGTATATCTACCCTTCAAAAATGCAAGATCATTTCAGGTAGGGAACCGTAGCCTGTTTTTGTGTCATGTGTCCTTTGCCAGTCTGGTGAAGCATATGATTCCCTCCTCAGAATAATGTTTGTTGTCCCCATTCATAATTGAAGAAAGTGCTAAATTGCAGTTCAATGATAGTGAAAATAAAGATGTAATTTTTTTTTTTTTTTGGTATCCAGATTCATGGAATCCCTGAATTCCACAGTCCGTTAGACCCCAGGTTAAAGATTCCTAGTTTAGTGGGGAAAATATAATTTAATTGCTTAAATTAGTGAGCTTGATTTTATTTTATTTGGATTTTGTATAACATTTATTGATCTGTGTTATTTGTTGGGATTAGGAGCTGTGTTTGAATTTGTGTAAGGAATCAAATTGGTAATAATAGATTTGTTTGGGAAAAGAAGTTATTTTTAAATTATCATATTGGTCATGTAGTGTATTGCAAATGTAGATTAGTTTTGTTTTTGTTTTTAAAGGAAATTTCATAATGAGAGTACATCTGATGGATCCATTCTGTTTTAGAATGTCTTTGTAAACATCTACTCCAAGATACCAACACTTTCCCTTGCCTAGCTAATTATTCCTTCTTAGCTTGATAAATTCATTTCTTTTCATAGATAGATTTTTAAAAAGGCATCTTTTCGAGCAGACGGGCTTTATACTTTTTTTCAGTCATGGCCAATCACAAAGCAATTTGATTGTTTTTATAGAGGTAGTTATTGCAAAAATATTAAATGAGTTTTTGACAAAGAGAACCTTTTATGTGTTAAAGGAATTGGAGATTAGTGAAGACTGGAGTAATAACAATAATAATAATGGATACTCCATCAAGGAGGTCTGAGGGTTTAATAAATACATTCATTGTTGAGGAAAAGGAAGATAAAAAGGGTTTAAAAAATGTTGAGAGGGAAAAAATTAGTAGAGAACAGGTAATGAATCTTTTTTAGTTTGAGTTGGGCCTTTGTATATTTCTCAACCTTTATGCTTTTCTTCCAGGCCAATCCAAGTGAAATGTTACTGTGATTTTCATGGTGTTACCCTTATCAAGATCTTAAACCATTGCCTGTAGTCTACATTTATTAGTTAATTATTTTAAGTCTGTGTGTTAACAGTGCAACCTTTTTCCCTCGCACTTCCTATCATAAATCCTCTTTTCCAGTCAGTTTGTTTCTTTTATTATCTCCTTACTTTTATTCTTCCCCCTACCAACCTGTCTCCATTTAACCTTCTTCAAATATTTAGCCTACGTTAACTTTGCCTTAGCAAAATTATGGCATTTATAGCCTTGACCACCAGTTTAGTACCTGATTTCATTTTTGTCTTGCATTCTACATTTTGTAGCTGTCAACCAAACTGGAGAGGTTACAGTCTCTATATATGAAAGTATCCAAGTTGATACCACAGATCATTGAAAGACTGAAGAAATATTCTGTGTTTGTATCATGGGTAATTTTTCCTTTCTCAACAAGATTGTAAGCTTCTTCAGGGTAGGGATGATGTCATAAACTCATACTACTGATCAAATTGATCAAAGCACATAGCCACACCAGTTGATTTATTGATGCTTTTATGTATCAATAAATTAATACTTATCTATGCATGGTTTTGAAGCATAGTGGAAGCCACAGCACAGTCTGTCTGCAGGATTTTTTTTTTCTGCCAAAGACTATATTGCATTTGACATTGCCAAAGCTAAGTTTTCTGATAAGACCTCTGTTGTTTGAAAAATCAGGTTTTACCACTGTTGTGTGAATTAAGACTTGAGATCTGAAGGAACGAGGTTTTTGAGATAGAGAGACCATAAGATATTTGACAAACTGTGTGGAAGGTGGAAAAAGTTATATGCTTATCTCAAAAGGCAGAGAGAATATCAGTAAGTAGAAGTCACAGGGAAGTGGATTTGCTTGAACATGGGAAATAACTTTAATAACTGGATCTGACTAGCATTGAAATGGAATAGGTTTCTGATAGGAAGTTTTTAAGCACAACCTGTGTAGATATCTTTTAGGGTTGTTGATGGTATGTAAAATTGTAGGCTTCCTTCTAAAGAACCTTGAGATTTTATAAGTCTTAAATACAAATATTATGCTTTAAATATCTTCCACAGAATTCCTACTCTGATGATTCTTTGTGGTGCTGTATGACCTAGGGTTCTAGAAGATTATACCAGTGGAGTACAAGATCTGGCCGGTTATGCCATGCTGAAAAAGCTTCAAGTCTGGTCCCAGGGATAGACCAAGTCTATTTTCTGAGGAGCAGTCTAACTAATCACAGACAGATACATCACCAGTAGGCTAGGCTTATGGTGATGAAACTATTTTTAGTGATGAAACAGAGGGGGAAAAAAATGGGTCCGCAGTCATACGTATGCTACTTGCTGGTGGTAGGGTTGTAGGAAGTGCAGCAGAGGGTGCTCAGAATCATTAACAAATTCTAGTTGACTGTTGTTACGCTGAATGTGAAATCCTTGTTCAGTGACCAGTGAGTGAACATGTTGTTGAAGGAGCTGAGTCATATACCCATCTTTATATTCTTGATGAAAATATTTAGAAGAAAGAAGGAAGTTGTAATTAAAGGAGCATGGCACACAGGTTGTCCTTAGAGTGGCAAAGAAAGAAGTTGGCAGAGTGGGGTTTTTTGTATGCCCCAAAGCAAGAAGTATTTCATGAACCACTTGTCTATCACATTGCAATACTAATGAAAAGTTTTTGCAAAAAGACCACAACTGTAGTGAACACACCAGCATAAGTAACTGATGATGAAGCATAATTTCTATAGAGAATTTGATGAGTTTAAATGAAATCAACATACATTTTTATACTTGGCAATTTCATTGTTTTAAAATTAAACTCCTTGACATTTTTCTTGGAGCTTCCTTCTATGAAGGTTTTGTGAATATAATTGTTCCTGTGAAATTTAAAGCCTATGAACTGCTATTTAATGAAATGTGAAAATTAGAATAATTTTTCTGTTTTGGTGACGAAAGTAATTTTAAAGCCATTCAGATGACTTTATTTGAGACAAAACATCTAAATTATCATTTCCCTTTGGACTGGACTTGGGTTCTGGTCCTACTCTGCCACTAATTTGTTACACAGCTTGGGGCAAGTATCTAACTAAGTGATCTCTAAGGATCCCTTACAGTTTCTGACAAACTGAGACTAGAGACCAGGTTTTTATCTTTTGAGAATCTGTGTAACATTGAGAAAGTCGCTTAATTCTTTTTCTTAATCTGTGGAATAAATACCCATCTGAATTTTATGAAGAGCAAATGAAGTAACATGTAAAAGTGTCTTAAAGTGTGTGGTGGTTAGAGTGACTTTTAGTTAGGGTCTATATAAATAAGACTTATTCTATAAATATTTGTACCAAGTAGTAATGAATACAAAACTTCCTTTTAAGTAAGTGTAATCAAAATGTAGTCTAAAAACTAAATCCTGATGTTACTTAGAAATCTTTTCCCCCCCTCTTTCTTGTTAGCGGATACTTTGTTTTCAAGGAGACTGAATGGGAAGTACAGACTTGAGCGACTTGTACCTACTGCAGTGTATCAGCACATGAAAATGCACAAAAGAATTCTTGGACATTTATCTTCTGTATACTGTGTAACTTTTGATCGAACCGGAAGGAGAATATTTACTGTAAGTGCTTATTTTATTTATCATTTAAAAAAATTAAAACAATAGGCCAGAGTTCACATCTTACAGTTTTCATTTAGTTAAGATGTAATTTAAAATTACTTGAGATTTTTATAACAATATTGATAAATACATGGCAATTATAACCCTAAAGCTTTTCAGATAGTTTTTTTTTAAACTGAAAAAAAAAGGACATGAAACATTTGGGTCTTTGTTGTAAATTGATTTGCCATAGTTTAGAGGTTTGGTATGAAGCATATCCATCGTCATCCAAGAATGTTGGAAATATATGATGTATTTATGCTATATAATATACTCCTACATCAAATATATACATAATTTTGATTAAACTTTGGTAAGATAGGGATATGAATTAAACCTGTGATTTTATGAGTATAGGGAGCTCCCTGTATGAGGAAACTCCCTCTGCCAATGAAGAGGTTGGTATCTTCTCTATAATTTATGGTTTTGTTGAACTGCTTAGAGCACTGAGAGGATTAAATAGCTTGTTCACAGTCCCTAGGTCAGTATATGCATGAAGCATTTGCTTGAACCCAGGTCTTCCTGGTTCTGAGGCCAACTGGCTATCCATTACATTAGACTGCCTCTCATTACATGCTAGTATATATCCAAAAATCATTTTAATTGGTTTGTAGTTTGAGATTTTACAGCAGAATTTTAATTCCAATTTGTATGTCAAGGATTTTTTTTTAATTATGTAAATGAACAGAAAATTAAGAAGTTGTTTTTGTTTTGTTTTAAACCTTAACAGGAACATCACGTAGATATTTTTTCTCTTTAAAGTTAAGTCCTTTGTCCTTATCTTTTAGTTCTTGTTAGTCTGCATAGAAATTCTCCAAAGTATATTGAAACTGTGGTATTTGAATGTACTATCCTTGGGTATGTTTCTGATTTTTTTTTTTTAACCTCTGGAAGTAAAGAAAAGGAAGGTTTATTCAGCAAGTATCATCTTATGTAAGAATTATTTACTGTAAATAATCTACTTTCAGAGGTGTTTCTTAAATTCATTAGGATGAAATAGAGTGGAGCAGCGAATTATTAAATATTACTTTATGGCCCTAAAGTGTTAGCTTATTCATTGGTATGTGGATTTATTGAAACAAGAAATATTAAAATGAATTTTAAATGGAAATCCCCATTTCTCCTTTTGCAGATGGGAGCTAGCAATGGGATGATATATCTGTGTAAATTGTAATAAATCTCTTTCTTCAGTTATGCAAAGTCTGATTGTAAACTTGAAACCTACTTTACTTTTTCTACCTTTCTTATATACCCATTTATCTGTAAAACAGCCGAATAGCAGGATATGAGGAATTTAACTTATTCCCACTTTTTTTTTTTTAAATTCTGGCACTAATCCAAATAAAATTGACAGCAGTCACTTAATATTAGCAATCTACCCTTATCTACCTTTCACCATTTCACTGGGAAACAGAATAATAATGATATTTACTAAACTTTAAAACAGGATGCCAAATTTCAAAGTGGAAGTCAATCTCTACATGTTCTCTATAGTGCTTTAATATAATCCAAAGAAGTAATTTACTTGTTTCAAGTTTAAGCGCAGTGCCATGCTCATAGAGGGAGCATATAATAAATAGGCTTAATTGAAGATACTGTGTGACTCAGATCCAGCTAAGACAGCCAGAATTTAAAATGGCCTATTCTGATGCATGTTATTTGCATCTGAAATCCTCTCAGAATAGTCATGAACTGAAAGGAAGAGGATTTCATGATTATGCAATTATGTATTTGGGCTTCACTTTGGTTAACATAGTATATATTTGGAATTCACTTTAGTTTGTTGTTGTTAGTTGTTTTGGTCATGTCTGACTCTTGGTAGAACTCTTTTGGATTTTTCTTGGCAAAGATACTCTCATTTCGGTTAACATAAGACAAAGATAGCTATCAAAATTAAGAAAAATTGATAGCTCATTACCTTTGTGTTTTCCTGAAATAGATTTAGTACTTTGTTGGAAATTCTCATATCTTTTAAAATGTAAGCTTTTGTTTTCCCATCTAAGTCAATTTAGAAGTATTGTGTACTTATGTATATACTTATACATAGTTTATGTATTTATATACACATAGATAACACACTTATTGTATGTATAGCTTAATCCTATCTTTAACAAAAGTTTAACTTTAAATAGTTATGTCTTATTTGGAAGTTCTGGGAGAAAGAGATAGTAGAAGTAGTTATTTTTTAAGTTAAGGTTCCATAGATACATGAAAAAAAGCCAATGTAGAATTAGGATAATCCTCTAACACTCAACTTCTACCTTTTGGGGAACTTGGGGGTATTGGAATGGTGGGCAGGGCAACTCTTTTATAATGGCTGCTCTTGGAGATGGAGTAACATGCAGAATCAGGCAATACAAATTTCCACATTAGCCATGTTAAAAAGTGTATATCTCATGTTTTTGAGTCCATCATTTCTCAGGCAGGTGAGTGGCATTCTAACATCCTTTGTTCTCTGGAACTGTATGGTTTGGCAGATCAGAGTTTTCACTTCTTTCACAGTTGTTCATTTTTACAACATTGTTACTGTATAAATTGTTCTTCTAGTTCTACTTTTTTCAGTCTGCATCAGTTCATACATATCTTTCCTTGAAACACTTAATTGCATATGTCATGATAGTATTCTATTACATTCCTATACTGTATATTGTTTGTCCTTTTCTTAATTGATGTTTGATTGAAAATTGATGTTCGTTAATTGAATTAATGATTCCCTTTAGTTTCTAGTTCTTTGCCACCACAAAAAGAGCTGCTACGAATATTTTCATATGTGTGGTACTTTTTTTCTTCTTTTATCTTTTTGGGGCATAGATCTAATTGTTCTCTTTATTAAGGAGGCAAAAAGAATGATAGGAAGAGAAACTCATGTATTAATAATCTTAGAATATAATTTGATTCTTTAGTGTTAACATCTACTTTTCTCCACGAAATTCAAAATATTAATGTAACTCAGGTAAATATTTTAAAATATATTACAAACATTTATAAAAATTGCGTAACATTGATTTTCCATTGTTATGGAATTAAATAGAAATTTAATGGCTTATGTGAAGTGTTAGTTCAAGTCAGTGATACTTTTCTTTTACTTATGAAGATCTGGTTTTGATTTTCTCAAAGTCTTATAATTGCCTGGGTTGATTGTTGGAGGGTATGTGTTGATACTGTCGTTGTCAGCTGAAAATCCCCACAAGCTTTGGAATATCTGGAATGGAGATTAATTAGGTAAGGCTTCAAGATTATAAATCTCCCCATTCCTTCATTTGTAAGTTTGAGATAGTGGCATACCATGCTTATTTCCTTTACATAAGATTGTTAATCTTAAAGCCATAAGTGATGAGTTCTAGGCATCTATTTCAGATAAATTTTAAAACTTTTTGAAGGTTACATTGATTTGAGTAATTCTTATTTATTTGTATCAGTTAAACAAATTTTAGCCAATTGTATGCCACAACCTTAGCTAAGTACTGATTCAGACTGCATTAATGAAGCAGGTTACAGATGTAAAAAAATTTTATCAAATTTCCTAATTTTGCTCTAGAATTAAAAACTCATTCATTTATAAGCATTAGCTGACAATCTAACATTTTGACCTATATTATTTGACTATATTAATATATGTTAATATAGTCTTATTATAATATCATTTGGATATTATAAGCAGAACTCATTTGTATATATTGTGAAACTCTGCTCCAAAGTCATTTAGCTTAATCAGTTATCTTTTGAACATTATTTCTATTGATCTAAGTGACCCCATAATAATGTTTCACTACTTTGTAACAGGTGGTTGGTATGCCTGTATAACTTGTTACTAGATTGGAAACTTTTTGTAGTTACCATTCTATAATAGGTTAATTTTTAGTTCTGTAGTTATTTGAAAACTGTGCTCACAAACTGGTAAAGTTCAAACAACACATGAATATAAGTGAACTGACAAGATGCTGGGGATGGGGGTGGGGTGTTCAATGACATTTAGGGACTAGAAAACTTACTATAGGATATTTTCCTAGTGGAATGTTGGTGTGAGAACAGAGAGAAACACCTATCAGGTTAGAATTTATCTCTTTCTCCCTGTACCCCCATTTCCTAGTTCTTTAATTTCTTCATATCTTAGTTCTTTAATTTCTTCATAACATTTAACAGTATTTTAGCACGTGAAGATAGTTAATTCACTTTGAAGTGGCAAACTCTTTTTTTCCTTTTGAGGGCCACAAAATTAAAGTAGCAATTTAATTCTTTTCCTAAGAGAAATATAAAATGGTCTATTTTATTCTTTTATAAAATCAAGACTAGGGTACCTAACACCTTCTTCAGTAAATAAAACAAATAGTTAAAAAAAAAGGTAATAACACAATAATAGTAAAAACAAGTAATAGTAATCTTAAAAATATGTTATAATTTTTAAAATGTGTTCTGGTCATTTAAAAGGAGAGAAGAAGGAAAAACATGAGAATCAGACACAAAGGCAGATAAAGAGATAGGAAAAGTCATAAAAATACAGAAACAAATACATAGAGCGTATATATAGAAAAAATGAATAGGATATGGGTAGAAAAGATAAAGTTAACAGCTAATTTTGTATACTACTTTACATTCTTATATTCTGTATATAATATCACAACTGAGGCTGGCTCTCTCACTACCTGTTGTCGAATTGCCTCTCCTGTATACCATGTAATCATAAAATAGATGTCATTGTTTGATGAGTTGAATTGATCTTCACACTGAAGGAAGGAGATGATAGTCCCAATGTACTTTACCATGGTCAGATTATATCTAGAGTATTATATTCAGTTTCAGGAAGGAGTTTGATAGATAGGTGAGTGTCCAAAGGAGGAAAATCTGAATGGGGAGAACCTCAAGGTCATCATGCCATGTGAGGATCAGCTTAAGGAATGGGGACATTTATTCTAGAGAAGAGAAAAGGGACATGAGAGCTCTTTTTCAAGTATGTGAAAGAC